TACTATGTCGTACGATATGTCGTGAGTAAATGGATACTCGGGAAAGCCTTAGCCTTTTCCCAGCCTTTCCTGCCTTTTCCTTTCTCTCCTTTTCCTCCCCCTTTTCACCAATTAAGGCCAGCAACACACTCGCAAATCCACGTTTCGGATGTCCATGGGCGACGGTACTACCTCCATTAGGTAGACCGTCTGCTCAGTTGCACCCTTTTCCCATAAAAAAACAATAATTTTTAGTATTTAAATATAGTGATATAAAATATTTCTCAAGGAAAGGCGAGTGCCGGATAGGTTCATGACAAAAAACTTATAAGAATTATAAAAGTTGAAATTCCAAGTTATTTAATAATAATAATATTTAATTTGAAAGTATAGTCTTAACTGATGAGATATATGGACATTTAATTTAAAAAATCATTCATATATTTCGAAATCTATTTTACAAAAATTACGTCAAAGGTCGCAAGATTAAATAACATATATATGAAAAATACACACACATACATATAAATACGTATATATTAATAGTTGTAATAATAATGTCTGATAGTGTAAATAGTCGAAGTGCATCTTTATATTGAGGTATGAAGATGTAAGTCATGATAAAGAGTGATTCTGATACGAGCATTGGACGCCTCCAGTGTTAAAATTGCTTTCCAAGAATTTATGAACATTTTAATGTTACACTTGGATTATACACGCATAAATATATCCACTGGTTTTCTTTTTTACTTCAATATATCTTTACGTAATTTTATTTTAGACTTATCTTTTAAGACTTTCAAAAAATGTTTTAAATTTAAATTAAACATATCATATTCTAATCGAATAAAAAAAAATGGTTCTAATTTAGACTTCTTCTTCTTCTGCTGGTTTCTAATTAATAATCTGACAGAAACAGAGTGACTTAATGATATCCTTTATTTATTAAGCGTTGCGTGCGAGTGACTGACAGACAGACGTACTGGCTTGTATACTGTAAACAATTATTGAATCAGAGATATTTAATTGTATTATTTAATACATATATATGAATATATGAATAAATATGTATTTGTGATGAATGAAACTAATATTTTTCGGATTATTACGTGTATTTTATTATGCTTAAATAACTATGTACTCCCGAAGATTCGGTTACTTTGTACCAAATAAATATGTAAAAATATTAGTTTGATCTTAGTAGATTGCTTTGTTGACAGCAGAATAAATACTTATTTTACATAGCACATACCTTGAGGATGTGCATTGCTTATAATTATTATTATTACTCTTCTACCTGGCAATTTCCCAGCTTTAGCCAGGGTCTGTATACATGTTGTGAATAGTTTTGGCTAATTGTTTTTATTAGAGCCGCCTGCCTGACATCAACCCTCTTTGTTAACTAGTTCTACTATAGATTATTATAATTATTTTTCATTTCTTACTTAAATTAATAAAAAATTCTTATAACAAGCGAAGTCGCGTGTATTATATAGTATATAAATAGTCTTGTTTCCAATAATACCGATACGATTGTTGCCTGTTGGCAGGTGCCTTACATATATCACAGTGTCAAATACTGGTGTGAACAAAAATAATGACCCAATTGAAGTACAAGGACCCCTGACTTTAAAAATAATTAAGAAACATTTAAATACTTATAATTATTATATAGGTAATATATGAAAAATTAATTATTAAGTTTATTGGTTATATATATTTTAATTGAATATGAATTTCTGAATGAAAATTTCGATGAATTTAATGTATGATATGTAATTATATACATATATAGAATATATATACATAATGAGATATAAGACTTCGCGAATATTCATTTAAATGAAACTATAATTATTTTTATTTAGAAATAACAAGACCAACTGACAGACATTCACATCTCGTCTTAATGATCACGGTTGATGAAAAGTAACCGAAACGTCGGTAGGAATTATGCATTTTATTTAAAAAACCCACAGTAAGTCGAAAAATATTACTTAAATTGAAATATATATATATATAGTTTATTATATTTCATATTATTATATATAATAATATTCTGTTTTAGATCACTGACCTATATATTGTATGCCAAGTGACAGACGGACATCGCGACAGTTGTTTGAACTTGTTTCACAATAACTATTAGCAGTAATAAATCATTATAACTCAAATAATAATATTATATACAATATTATTACTAAATAACAACATAAAAAAAATCCTAAGAAAAAAAATCGCATTATTTTGGATAGCTAAGTATATATTTAATTTATAACATTTTTTTTGAACCTTAATCCATTAATAATTCAGATGAAAATAGTTAATCCCTACTAATATTATAAATGCGAAAGTAACTCTGTCTGTCTGTCTGTTACACTTTCACGCCTAAACCACTGAAATGATTTTAATGAAATTTGGTACAGAGATGGAGTTGACCTTGAAAAATAACATAGGATAGTTTTTATCCCAGACATTTGAAAGGTTCTCTTGGAAACGCGATATAACCGAACTCCACGCGGGCGAAGCTGCGGGCGGAAAGCTAGTATCGTATATTTCTACTTGTATGTTTGTTTATTTATTATCATACATATAAACTATATAGTAATATATTTAAAGTTAAGATTAAAGAAATAGTACAGATTTACGTAAAAACCGTTATAAATAGAAAACAAGGGCGTACGGGTATTTCACTTGAAGGCTACTAGGCATTGAAAAATAGTTGGTATCTTAAATGATAGAAAGAATTAAAAGTAACAATAGGCCATATTAGGAACATTATAAGCAGATTTATACTATATGATGATACTAGCTTATATTTATAATACAAAGTAAAAAAAAATATAATAAAGATATGTACTTAAAAGATTAAATATATCTTGGATTAATTTATACTAGTAGAAAAAAGTTTAAAACTGCTGAAAGCCGAAGTATATAAATATATAGCTCATGAAAGACACTATTAAAAAGCTAGTAAAAACAAAATACCTTTTTATTGTTTTGTTAGAAAGATACGAAATACGATACACTTGGATATTGAGAAAAACCTGATGGCACTTTAATAAACTTATTTTAAGACAAATAGGTATAAGAAGAAATATATTATAATATAAGATTAAATGTTACTATGATTCCGTTTCTTTGAAAGCTGTTTTGACATAATAGTTTATTTATATGAAAAATATTGTCATTTTAAAATTTCAAACCTTCAGAAGAAAAATGCTAATGTCAACAAATTCTTTTGAAGCAAAACAAAAAAATATATCACACCAATACAGAACATATGTTGTAGCAATAAGTGCTACAATTGCGTGAACTAATTACACGTATTAAAATAAATCAGCACCATTGACCCGGTTATGTTTGAGGTCTTTGTACGTTTACCGGTTCACCACTAAAAGATATAATATATTTTTATAGCTTCCACATCGCTTTGATACTATCTGCTCTATGAAGATTGTGAAATATTTTTATTTCAATGGTATGAATATATTTTTAGTAACGCTTGTTATGTGTTGCGGCCTGATTTTAAAATGCGTCAGTACTAGCCTATGAGCTTAAAATAGTTTATAATAATAACTAAACCTAGATTTATTTCAACCTTTGTATGTTTGTTTCTTGTTTCCGCTAGTTATGACGTAGTACCTAAAATTTATTTATGATTTCATTTGGTAAATGTATTATGTTATTAATCGGATGCTTTGGTTTTGGTTTGGTTTGCTTTGCAATACATTAATTAGACTTTGTATGAGTTATTATATGTTATTACTATTTAACGTAAAGTTTATTTAAGTCTTGGTTTAATATTAAATTTTGGCATAAAGCTATATAAAAGTAAAAAGTTCTAAGTGATTCTTTCAAAAGGTATTTTTAAATTCAGACAAATCTATTACCATTTTTCGTTTCTTTTTTATCTTAAAGTGATTTTGCAAGTGAAATATCAATATTATGATGTATGACGTTATAATTTTTTTATAGATATTTTAATATGCTATAAGTTTTCTATACATATTAATAATTTATTTCTTACGGTTAATGTAGAATATATGGCTGATGCTTACTTCTATGTGTTATGTCATTTTTACGAATTAAATATCAAGAAAAATGTATCGTGATTTTAAGAAATATTTTAAACTAAATATGAATTTATATCTATTTATAAATATAGTAATTTTATCGTAAATATATAACTTCTACCTATACATATTTACATAACATTTCGAAAACATAGCTCCAAGTACAAAATGAAAAAACATTTCCATGAAATTTTATTTGTAATATAGTATATTTTGAAGAATAATACATAAAGACTATTGAAAGTCTTTTCATAGAATTACATCAAAAAAAATATTGACCATTTCATCAAAAATTTAAAATCTTTTGTATTTTTGCTAATTACTTTCCATGAATTGATAAAAGGTTTGCAATATTTTCGTGTGAATTTGAAGTCAGAAGTATTTCGCCACATTTATTTCATAATATTATTAGTATTTTACTTAAAAAAAATATAAAATTTATATATACTAATAATACCTAAAAACCGTACATGTAATTATACTGAAATATAAGAATTGTAAGCATAAAATTCTGGTAATTATCTTAGATAACGAATACAATGCAAGATCCACCCATTAGCATTTATGACGTCAACAATGAGTACGTACAAACGGACAAAAAAATATAAAACAAAACAATTCATTTAATACGATAAACAATACGGTTGACAATTGTTAACTATTTTGACAAGCAAGTAATGACGTGTTTGGTCAATTGATGTTATATCTCAGTGATGTTTGTCCTCTCTTGAGAGACGGTTGTTATCTTTATATATCTTTTAAGATATTTATCTATCTTTTTGTCGTTAAAATATTATTCACGGTTCGTTAATCAATAATTTAAATTATTAAATTAAATTTAAATTAAATTTTAAATATGTTTTTTCTTGTTTTCAGGTAGTGGATTATAGAAGTTGAATTTTAAGTGAAGTGTTTTTTTTGAAGTGGTGTTTTAAATCAGTGCATATGAGTGAGAAGGCTGTTCTGAGGATGACGAACATTTCTCCAGAAACCAGGATAATGATGATGAGGTCTGATGATGGGAGGCAGGGGTATAGACGGCAGGTGAGAGACTTGTTTATAAAACTCGTTTTAATAGTAATGACAGGTTAGATACTTTTGTATCTAATTCTTTTAACAGTAATCCATATAGTTAAACTTGAGAAATAAATATATGATAAGTGAATTATTTTCTAACAAACAATAATACTAGTTGCTCGTATAAAACTTTTTTTTATTTTAATCTGTCAGCTGATTTGAAAATGCAGGATAGAGATTTTGTTTTGTTTTGCACATAGTGTAACTTAACATATTTTTTTAGCAAACTAGAGATTTTGTTTTTTCACATAGTAAACAAACAAACAAACATATTTTCGAAGACAATTATAATTTTAAGATCATTAATAAAACAATACAAGTTTATCTCTTGCTTGTAGTTTGTATGAGATTAAATAAGGCTTATTATTTTACATTTAAAAAGGAATTGTCAGAATTTTCATGAATTATTCTTACAATAATGATAATTTACCTAAATATTAATCTAAAGTGACTTTAGATGTAACAAAATTTAAATTTTAGCTAATTAATTTCTTTCACATATATTACAAAATAATAATTGCGTTTTTGTTCATTGTTTTTGAATTAATCTAGTCACGTGTATGACATATTGACATTTGTAACATTTGACATACATATGTCACATGTCAAATATATTAAATTATTCCTTTGTTATTCTATAATAGTTTTTATATCATCTGTTATTTACCCTAAACCTTACTTTTAAATAGTTCTTCTTGAGTAATTTATTTATTACTTCTATGCTAAGCTTACCATAAGTATATGTATATGTCACAATACATAGTAAACGTATCTTTCTCATTCTATAATATATAATACTTTTATTATGAACTAGCTTTCCGCCCGCAGCTTCGCCCGCGTGTAGTTCAGTTATATCGCGTTTCCAAGAGAACCTTTCAAAAGTCTGAGATAAAAACTATCCTATATTCTTTGTCAAGGTCAACTCCATGTCTGTACCAAATTTCATTAAAATCTAGGTTTAGGCGGGAAAGCGTAACAGACAGACAGACAGAGTTACTTTCGCATTTATAATACATATTAGTAGGGATTAAAAACTATTGACGCTGCGTATTCAGTGCAAACTCGGATTAAGGATATAAATATATAATATTGAATTAAATGCATTCACTTTCATTTGAGGACAGACAGTAGACATTGAAGTTCAGTTAAGATAAAAGCAATCATATCTATAAGGTTTCTTAGTGTTTAACGAAAAGATAATTAAGTATGTAGAAACATATATGTATATATAAAAGAAAGTCGTGTTAGTTACACTATTTATAACTAAAGAACGGCTGTAGGGATATGGTTGACAATTGGTGGAGAGATAGATTAGAACAAGGAGACGGACATAGGATATTTAATTCTGTTTGATCGAAAAGTATATAACTTAAACGAAAATATCTGGTTATTTATATCCTCTGGGTCGGAAAAGAGTTCGCCCGGTCAGCTATACATACATACATATATTACTTACTCATTAAGACGGACGAAGTCGCGGGCAAATATAAATATATTGAATACTAGGTAGTTTCAATTGAATTATCAGATTTTTTAAATCAATTTCTTTAATAACAAACAAATTTTATTATGATTATTTGTTATCAAACTAGATAACCAAATAACAATAAATCATAGTATTATTATGTTATTAATGATAAATTGATTTAAATCGTATCACTTATGATTCATGATAGAATCTTTAATTTATATTATAGATTTTTTTAGTTTATTTTGGAAATCACGTTGTAATATATAAAATTATTTATCATTATTTATTTGACTATTTAATATTGTTATATTTTGTTAATGTTTATCAATAATTAATTATTAGAATCGAGAGTTAAAAATATGAATAAAATAAGAAAAATATTTCGTTTTTATGATAATTTTTACGTCAAAAATAGAAAAAGCAACAAAGTATTTTACATATCTTTGTTATAACAGTACGGCTATAAGAAGATTACGGAAATACAAAACCATGTACAGATCAAAAACAGAACCTTCTTTTATAAAGTCGGTTAATTAAAACAATTTTAATCTCCAGCAGTAACATTGCTACATGATTGTTTGCGACAAAATATAACGACCTTATTACAATAGCAATATGACCTAGTTTCGTTTGATTCATTTTATATTAAAATGTAGATTTCACGCAAACTTATTTATGCATTTAATGTGACCTTATTGTTATGGTAATAGAGTGGAATTTGGCTAAATCGATTGTTCCGTTTTTGTAAATGTGGCAGTATGTCGGTCGTTGACTCCTTCCGAATGTTCAGGCCAATGTGACGCTGTACGGATAGTGATGGGAATTTGCTTCCGGGTTTGATGATTTTATCGATAGTTTTCATTTAGGAAGTACGATGAAATCAAATACAAGGGCAACATAAAAAATTATCATTAAATTCTGAGCTAAAATTTCTATGTAGGTATATCTAAAAAAATATTTGGCATATTATTCTATTTTCATAAAAATTCTATTTATAGGCTTAAATATAAAATATAATTTTGCAATTTAAATTTGAACCCACGTGAACTTTATTCGCTATATCTTTGTATCAAGATAAACATCTATTATTTCACGCTGTTCATCGATAAAAGATATACATCACTAGCTTCCATTATCGCACTTACATGCTCCGAGCGGTGATCGATTTCCTATGTTACAACACTAGGGTATAGTTATCGATAGTTGGTGTACATTTAACATTATACCTAGTATTGAATACAAGTCAAAATTAATAAATAAATCTGTCACTTGCATTGCAATTTAAATTTAGAATTATCTGTCAAATCTGTCAAATGTCATTATGATTTAGATTTAATTGATTAGCTGTCAAAATATCGAAATTGAGACGAAATTTGTCATTCAATGTATTCACGGTGCGTGTGTCGGGTCCATCGTTGTAGTGAGAGGAGTTTCAACAGTGACTGGGACTTGTGACCCAGGTGTAGGTTTAATATATATAGAGAGACGAAACCTCTCATCATTCAATGTATTCACGGTGCGTGTGTCGGGTCCATCGTTGTAGTGAGAGGAGCTTCAACAGTGACTGGGACTTGTGACCCAGGTGTAGGTTTAAAGGACCCTATATAACGCGTTTTACGCTCACCTCCACCGTCCAAGCTCCTCTCTCTACCTAACCAAAGAAAAGAACCTACTAGGGCTGCATTCGAAGTACGTTCCAAGAATGAATTGATATTATTTCTACATAGGCCAATTCTTTTAGTAGGTTATAGAGAGATTTAGCTGTTATACCTCTCGCTCCTACTTCTACTGCATACAAAATCTATTTCTGAATACGTAGTAATTTGTACCTATATTAAATATTTAACATTGTCATTTTATTCCAGATCCTTGCAGCATTAGCCGTATCCCTTGGTCCATTCGCTGCTGGTTTAAGCAAAGGCTACATGTCACCAGCTATAGCGTCAATGCAAGAGGAAGAAAAGCATCACACTTCTGGCTTCACAGTCAGTGACCAGCAGGCCAGTTGGATAGCCAGTTTGAGCTTACTAGGTAAGTTTAAACATATAATATTTACCTTCATTGATAGTAGATTGATCTTTCTAAAGGATTGATTGATGATAGTAGAATTACGTTAAAAGATTTTGAATGGCAAAAATTCGTATACAGCCCAATGAGAAGTTCTTAATATAAATGAAAATAATGTTTTCGGATTTACTAGGCGTTATTTTATTATTTTTAACTACATACTCCCGACGTTTCGGTTACTTTGCAGCAACCGTGATCACGGACAGACGAGATGAAAATGATTGTAAATTAAATTAAATGAATACTTTCAAAATATTAGATCACAAAAAGTATTTAACCAAAATGATTTATAGACAATTTGTAATATATAATAGGAATCATAGATATGTACGTCAAATACATTTTTGTTTCAAACAATAATAGATACAATAATTTGAACTGATAATAAATTTACAGAATATCGCCAATTTTTTAACAAATGTCAACCCTTATTATGACAATATCTGTCATTACAATATATATAATATACTCAAATAAATATCAAACTAAAACTCTGTTAAATAAAAATTGCAAAAGCCAATTATTTAATTCATATAATAAGTACATTGACATAATTTCTATGGAAAGCAAGTCTAAAGATTTACGTACAAAAGCGGAAAGAGAAAGTGCATTGACAATAAATCATAGTGTTTTTATGGGCTTTCGTTTACAGGCACCATAGAAAAAGATGTGCATTATCCCATATAGAACAGAACAATACTTCATAATATAAAGCGGAATGTTATCATTAATCAATAAATCATTGTTTACAAGACTAGTTCGAATCAGGAATCGAACCCGTTCCCCTTTACGAGGAAGTAGTGACGTGTAGAATAATGATCGCACAGAGGTATCTTACCTGTATTTACTGTATAAGGATTAATGCTAAGTAATCCTTTTAACTTGAGGATGTATGTTTGTTGCTCTTTAACGAAAAAACTACTGAATAGATTTGGATGAAATTTCATAGTAATGTAGTTTATACATTAGAATAAGATATAAAATATTATTTATCCTAAAATTTCGTATATGTATATAACTCACGTGACAGTGACGGTTATAGTCGCTGACTGTTGGTTAACATATTATCAATTATATAACATAATGCTTTTATAATAAATCTCTAGTCTAATTTAAAAGTTCAGGAGGACGAAGTCGCGGTAAAAAACAAGTACTATATAAATATACACAAATAAACATAGTTTTTTCTAAACGGTTAAAGTAATTTAATGATGGAATTACTCCGAGATACTTATAGGTTACTTTACTTGAAATTACTGATCATAAATAAAAAAATACAAATTAGTTTTGTAATATTACTGTAAAAAATATTTATGGTTAAAATAATAATATTCTTAAATACATTTATCTGAAAACATGAATATTTTTAACCTCTGTGTTGTTCTATCCTGTGACTTGTTCATGGCATTAAATGCCACACGCGTTTTATTGAAGTTTAATAAAACATGCCATGTAGCTATAGATGCGTGGCATTTGTTCAATAAACTGTCATTTATATAACATAATGAAAAGGTAATCTATGACATATAATGACAAGTTTATTAAGACTTTAAAGATAAACATATATTAATTACATACTTTATTGTTATTTTATTTTCTTGAGAATATTGTAAAAAATATTATTTTCATATGCGCAGTTCGATTACAGTATTCTTTAAAGATATAAGATTAAAATATTATTTGAGACGAAACCTCTCATCATTCAATGTATTCACGGTGCGTGTGTCGGGTCCATCGTTGTAGTGAGAGGAGCTTCAACAGTGACTGTGACTTGTGACCCAGGTGTAGGTTTAAGGGACCCCTATCTAACGCGTTAAACGCTCACCTCCACCGTCCAAGCTCCTCTCTACCTAACTAAATTCGAATTCGAACCTAATAGGAGTGGTTTCAAATTGCGTTCAAAGAATGAATTGATATTAGTTCTGAACAGGTATAGTTCAGGTTCTATAATGTGTCAATATTTATGAATGAAATACTGTTAACGCTACGTATGTAGTGTGATGATGGTAACCTGTAGTATGCAGACAGATAAAGAATTAAATCTTCTATATATATAAAAATGGATTGCTGTTCCTTAGTCTCGCTAAAACTCGAGTACGGCTAAACGGATTTACCTTATCTTAGTCTTGAAATGTTCGTGGAGGTTCAGGGAAGGTTTGAAAGCTGAAAAAAATTGATTCATTTCCGGGAAAACCCTAAAAACAGCCCTTTTCTATTTCCCATACAAACGTTTTCTTTGACATTAGATTTGACATCTAACTAATATGGCAATCATTTTGTCGCACTTCAGAACACGGAGATTTATGGCTTAAAGGTAAACACCAAAAAAATAAATAAGACAATTTATTTCTTGATTGAGGCAGTACGAAGTCTGCCGGGTCAGCTAGTTAAGGATATAACTGTCGATCTTTCAAAAGTTATCGAAATAACTATCTGCCACTAAAATTTTCTTGATAATTTGTGTTAGGCGTTAAATTGTGGATAAAATCCAGACCGTATTTAAAAGATAAGACAGTACAAAAAGACAGCAACAAATATTTTTAAAGTCTTTGTTAGTTTTTGAATTGAAAACACAATAGTTTCATAAATAATATTGAGATTTAAAACCTCGTATCTTTTATTATCTTCTTATTTTAGTACTAGAGCAATATTTTAAGTCATTTTTATATAATAATAATGGCTATATGAAAATAACTCTTAAAGTCTAATAAATAGAGATCATGTGATAGGTTTAAATTTTTATCGTATTTTTAAGAGTATTCAAAACATATGAATTATATCTTTATACATTTACTGCTTCTTAATCTTATAAGTTCAAAGAAGATTTGTAAAAAATATTACATCGTAAAATAAAAAATATATAAAATAATAATGATTTATGTAGAAATAATGTGGAGGTATTTAAAGAAAGTTTCATAATTAAATGAAATACGTATCTTATAAATGGTATTTTTTTTTATCTATTTACAAGTATTTTTTAATGCGAATTTAACTGTAAATACATCATCATCATCAGCCTATCAGAGCCCACTGCTGAACAAACGCCTCTTCTCACATGGAGAAGATAAGCATTAATCACCATGCTTGCTCAAGACGGGTTGGTGATTTCAAACTTATAATCTGAAATTATAAGTCAGTCGTGTCTAAATACTCTCAGAAAGTATATATGACTCGGAAAAAATCACATTGGTACTTGCCAGGTTTCGAACCCGCATCCTCATGCACGAACGGCGGGCCTTTAACCACTAGGCCATCACGACTTTACGTATTACCTCCTAAATTTCAGGTGTTCAAGAATTCATAATAATAGATATAATTTCATTCAAAATTAATCGAGGAAAACTTTAACAAACTTTATTTATAGGCTCTTTGTGTGCAATATGCTTACTCTTTGTTCTCGTCACTCCAAATACGAAGACTTTCGCGTATCTCATTAAATAAAATATTTTATTAGTATAATATTTTAAGATTTATATGATATCTGTTAATTCAGTAGTGTGATTTTGGCCACTTGGAGTAAGAGTGTTTTCTTGTAGACTTGAAGTCTTTATTAAAATTAAACAAAGCAGACAGAGTCGCGTTCATCAACTAGTATATACAATGAATTAGAATTAGCTTAGAAGATTTATATTGTTCTTGGAAACATAAAACACGAATTTTACGATAATTTTGCATTAACATATTCCCACATTTTAGTTAGACTGTAAATAAGTTTGACACACTGTTTATAAACGCATTATTTGTTCATAGGATTATAGTCTTCAATATAAACGTGTTAAAAGCTAAAATTGTTTGAAGTAAAATAATAAATAGTACATAGCTGTTTGATC